GTAACCGTTTGATAACGGACACTAGAGGCGCCCCTATCGTGTGTCATATTTCAAACATTCAAATTAACAATTTTAATTCTTATTTAAATTAACAATATAAATTATTATTATTCATTTGGCCCATAAATTATTATTTGGTCAATATAACAATATAAATAATTCAGTATATTTGTAATAGGAATTTATTATTTCAGGGGCTTATATCTCGCGAAGGGTCGCGAGTAGGGGTATGGTTCCTTTGACTATATTGTTCGCACGGGCTACAGTTTGGGGGGTCGCCATCTCTTCATTCGGAGGGTAAATCTTACCATTGGGACTTTAACAGAGCTGTAGAGCATATTGATAGGAACAAAATTTAATAGAGGAATTTAATCCTTACGCAATCCCAATGTCATTGGGTTGACGTTGCGTCAATGTTTTCTTCAGTTGTTTAAAATGCTACCGTTGTCCGCCGTCATTAAGTCTTTTAATAAGCGTACTAACATAGAGAGGCCTCTGATAAAAAATTGTAGTGATCTCGAGACGAATGAAATTAATTTTGGCAGTTTGAAAGTTGGGATTCGAACAAATACAAAACTGATTAATTTATTACTAATGTAGGTAATGTACTTACGTCGAGTGTGTATAATATTCAATAGTATTGTTGGAAAAGGAAGAAAATGAAAATTTAATTGAAAATAAACTGCGCAATTCACGGTCGTTATTGGTTCATTTTCTTTTCGTTTCGCGGTTCGGCCTCATCTCTAGGTTTTTCCCTAGTGGAACAAGTTTCTTTTTACTCTCCGACCTGTGGCACTAAGAGGACCTTTTTAGCACGCCGATTATAGGTTCGGCCGGGCCTACGTGGGGCGGGGGACGGACCCGACATATTCGACGAAAAATTCCTGGGGTTTCTCGCCTATGTGCTTCAGCGTTACCCGATTTTTATAGAGAAATATTCGATACAATAAATGTCGGATAGAATTTATGAGAAATTAGAAAATATTTAAGTCTGAAGAACCGAATAAATTCGGATACAACGCACGAATGATCAAATATTGGCATTAACTAAGCGAAAAAAGTTAAAATAATTTTAATAATAAAAGAAAATCTTGTAGCGTTCTTATATTCGATAATTAAAATCTATCGGAGATAATATTTATTCGATAAAACTAAAAATGTTTCTGGAGAAAATAGTTGAAACTTTTAACGGCAGGTGGTGCACGTACGCGTCGTCTGAAATGGAAATGGCTGAATTAGCAGAAGAGAGCCGTTGTTAAAGGACGAAAATATCACCGCCAGACGATCGGATAACGCTCTCTTCTCGCTGATCGGTCAATGTTTTCTTTATTTAAGTACAAGCTTTAACGATATAAACCACTTGGTTTTAACCAAACCTCTTCCGTATTATTCTTATTATTTAAATGATTTATTGCCGATGATGATCTTTTGAAAACCGAATTGAATTTATTGAAAAATGGGCGTGGATGACAATCAGATAAAAGAATCGAAGCATCGTTTGAAGCAACGTTTTGTAGTTTTAAGGAAACTTGGACACGGAACTTATGGCAAAGTTCAGTTGGCTGTTAATAAAGATACTGGACAAGAGGTAAGTTGTTATTCCCCTTTGCCCACTTAAATGCATGCTGCAGCCAGTAGGAAATTCAAATTTTAAATATTGTTTTAGCTGAAATAAAATATTTATTCTAAGACTACATTATATTTTCAAATTCTACTATAATAATGAAAAAATTAAAATATATTCGTTAAGTAATTTACGTATATATATTTTATTTTTTCTCCGGGCACTGAGAGGGTCTTTTACGGGTCTTCGTGGGTTTGGCCGAGCAGCCGGGAACGGGCCACTCTCCGGACGGGGGTGCACCTACCGTCCGGATTTGTTTTTTGGTCTCCCGGAGTGGTGGACCCGTGCCTCCGTCGCTTGGCCATTTAGAAGTCGATTTCTTACGTTAAATTTATTATAAATGGCTAAAAAAAGAGTTTCCTCGATATTAAATTGCTTACGCTTACTATATTAATCTATCTATAAACCTGTATATTATGTACGAGTTTGTTGATATATAAACTCGTCTAATAAAGAAAGAATTCTTCTTGGGAATATAATTTTTCCAAAATTTCCTTAATCCAGTTATTTTAGGACTTGTGGAGTCTAATAATAGATTAATTTGTAAATTAATGTATTCTAGTGATATTTTTAAAGTACGTTGACTTTATGACTGTAATAGTGACTACGTTTAATACACTTAAATGTTTTTGGATGTTCTTTCGTGCGTTGCGACTTCCTTTATTCCATATAAGTTATCGGTGCCGATGCACTGTTTGTTTTATTATACACTGTACTAAATGAAATTTTTAGTGACTTAATCATCCTATCACGTATATATAAATCGTAACACGAACGGGTCTATGTTCTCTTTGCGTTCGTTTATATAATTATTTATTTTGATTTGTGTGATCGTTGCTTTTCCCGACCCAAATATTTTTTTACCTCGAACGGAACGAATGCAAAAAAATGTGTTGTTATTACGTTCTATTATTATAATTATTAGATACGAAGTCGGCGCGTCGGCGGTACTTTTGACTTTTTTTCGTCGCCTCGTATTCGTATAGTTATGAGGTTTCGACGGCTTCGAAGGAGCCGTCNGATTTCTTCAGATTGTTTAACTAGTCTGTATTGTAATTTTAATAAAATATATCATTCAGTAAAATTAATGATCTGTGAAATTGCTGACATAATTTTATTTATTTAAAGCAGTTTTTGATGGTTGAAATTTATAAATTTTTTTATTCTTTAGGTGTATGATACGGCAACGGGTCAGCTAATAGTGACATTACGCGATCCAGATTTATGTAACAATTACACAAAAAACCGAGCCACTTTCGATCCGTCTGATGAGCTTGTTCTTTCTGATGGAGTTCTATGGGATGTGAGGAGTGGAAAACACATACACAAATTTGATAAATTTAATCCTCATATAAATGGTGTATTTCATCCAAATGGATTGGAGATAATATGCAACTCTGAAATTGTATCTTTTTATATTTTAAATTTTACCTTTATAGATTTTAAATTAACTAAATATGGTTTTTTTTTTAATATAAATAAATTTGCAAGTTTATCTGTTGATTGTTCTTATCAAAGTTTTATAACAAAAGTTTTAAAACAGTAAATGTGTAATACATATATATTTTGAAATACTCTAGGATTTAGTTCTACCATGTTGTCAAAAGTCAAATTTTATATTAAAAAATATAAGGTTTATCCTTTACAATTGTTTTAGTTCAAGTTAAACTAGCCATATTGGTTAACTTAATAAAGTAAACAATACATCATTAATGGAGACTAATAGTTTGGGAAATTCATACATTTTTAACCCAGTTAATAGGCTGTTTTCAAGCATAGAAGAATCTAAAAGGAAGCCTGGTTTGTGATAGGAAATAAGAGATAGAATAAACAACTGAAGGAAAGCAGATATGATGTTCTTAATCTTTTTGCATCATTTGCTGACATTGTAATCTACTTCTTATAATTGTTTATTCTATACCATCATTCTTATCTTGCATTAGTATTTTCCTTTTATTCTTTTACTTCTACAGATGGATTATTAATAGTATTGAAAATGTCTGCATTTCCTTAAACTGTTACCTACTGTTAAAGTCTTATTGCTTGCTTTATTAAGGTTTTTAGGATAGTTAATCATCAGGATTAACTAAAAACAATAGAAGTATGTGAAAATAGAATAACAAAGAGTTAATGTCTCCTAGCATCAAGCTGTTTTGATTTTATTTTTTCATGGTGTTGAAAATAGTCAGATTTATAGTTTTGATTGTTTTTACAAAATTTTCCAAATTATTTAATTAATTAAAAATGAATTTCTAATTATTAATCTTTACACAATTTATTTTTACTCCAAATTTTAATAATTAACTAAATTAAGCATAATATAAACTTATCCATTGCTTTAAGTTTGTATTTGCTAGTATAAAATTATCTTTACATAATTGTGGTCATAATGGTCAATCTAATAATGAGACTAGGTTATTAAAAATAAATTCAGACAATAAATTAAATTTCCATAAAAACTACAAAAATTTAATTAGATTACTTGCAACTGTTTTAAAATTTACATTTTTATTTTGTTTTTGATAGCAACTGTTCCATTAGTATATGTTTGAATTTTATTAGGATGAATGTACACTTTTCATTATTAATTATCAAACATTATATTTAAAAAATAAGTTTTCTTAATAATTAAATACAGTGGGACCTAAAAACTTTTCATCTTCTTCATACTGTGCCTGCATTGGATCAGTGTCAAATTACATTCAATCATATAGGAGATGTTATTTATGGAGGTAACAAAATAATTTTATTACACAAATTGTGTGAAAATTTATGTAAATATGAAAGAAAATGACTGTTAAAGGTTTAATAATCAACAAATAATTTTTATTTTACCTGCAGCAATGCTAGAAGAAGAGGCAGAAATAGATGAAGATCAGCTGAAAAGTCCTTATGGTTCTTCATTTCGTACATTTGATGCAACTGATTATTCAAGCATCGGTAATGTATTTTATTCAGCTGTATTATTATAGATTTTATTTGATTCCAAATTGTTTTCCAGTTTTTATAATTCTAAAACTTTTCTGTAGCCACCATTGATATTAAAAAGAATATATTTGATCTTGCGACCGATCAGTCTGATTGTTTCCTTGCAATAGTTGAGGTAATTTTATTTTATTTTATTTATTAAAATAATTTTTAATGTATACAAGTCAAAAAGTCCCCGGAATTTACCTACAGTTAGAAAATGCGATATAAGATAAAGTTATGCATTGCTTTGGTGGAAGGCTTAGCATGTCTGTTCGCAGTGTAATAATGCTCTTGCAAGTTTAAACTTGCACAGTCATTACTCTAGCGTCTTTGTTGGTTGTTACTGTTTATCCTTTGGTGTAATGTCTCAGTTTGAGCCGCGTGCAAACATCAAATTCATGTGCAAATTGGGGAAAAACTGCTGCAGAGACACTGTCGACTCTGCAGCAAGTTTAATCGACAAGTGGCATGGTCAGTGGTTTCTCCATCATGACAACACACCAAGTCACACATTGCTTGTTGTGCAGCAATTCCTTGTCGACAAAAGCGTTCCTTTTATTTATTTGTCGAAACTGTGTCTTCTTCTTGTTTCTTCTAATTCAATGTCATGACTTGGTGAATTTATTGACACTTGGCAAATACATGACATGTAAAATATAAAAATGAGCAAAAATTACAGACTTGCAAGCATAGATATAATAAACATGTACCGTTTGATAACCTGGAATCTAATAGAAAGTACACTAAAAAAGATTGAAACAGAGGAAGAAATGGATCTAATAGAATTCATATACAGGAGTAATTATTTCGAAGTCAACAATAAGTTCTACACACTTCAGGCATAAGCATGGACTCAATCATAGGCCTGAAGCTAGCAGAACTTGTTATGGTAGATATAGATCAAGCAATCAAAAAGATTACAAGCATAAAGTTCTATAAGCGATATGTGGATGACATAATTATACTATATGACCAAGAAATAACAAAATTAGAAGAAACAGAAGAAAAAATAAGCAAATTAAATGATAACATCAAATTCAAGGTAGAAAATGAGGCAAACACAGAAATAAATTACCTCAACATTAAAATAACCATAAAGGCAAACAAGATTGAATTTGAGCCATACACAAAACCATGCAAGATCAGGAAAGTGTTAAAACTACAATTCCAACATTCCACAGTACATAAAAGAAAACATATTCATCACGGAGTATAAAAAAATCGAGAGCAGAACAAGCTCAGAAGAACTGCAGTTTGTTGAGGTGTTTTTTCTTCAAGAAGAAGAAAAAAATACCTCAATGAACTGCAAACTAAATTCCTATTAAACAGCTATCCAAAATGAATAATAAATAACTGGGAAAGTAAAATCAACAATAAAAGGCTGGAAAATAAACAAAACAAAGATAAAAACAGAGTAAGATACATATTTTTCCCCAACATTCGTGGCGTCTTTGAACAGGTAAGCAAAAGTTTTGATAAAATAAATATAAAGCTAGCCCCAACCTATAACAACTTGCAAAAAAGAATCCGGAAGGCTGAACCTTGCATAAATAAACAACCAGACAAATACAACACTACCGAAGTCGTCTATAAAATATCTTGCACATGCGAACTGCCAAAAGTATACATTGGAGAAACAAAACAAAAGTTAGAAACAAGATTAAAAGAACACATTGTGGACCTGAAGTATAATAGAATCAACTCTGTTTTTTATGAACATTGTGTCCCACAACTGCAAAATAGATAAGAATGATGTTATAATAGTACACAAAGAAAAAAAATTGGTACAAAATAAAATTCAAGGAAAGCTACGAAATTATTACAGATGAAAATAATATTAACAAGAATCTAAGCATTGACATTCATAAAAACTGGCTACAATTATTAAAATAGAATGTTTATACAGTTGCAGGCGAGGCTGTGTGCGACACTCGGGGAGTGAGACGTTACAAGTTATGAGGCATGCGGGGGAGGCCATCAAGTTGGAAGGGGAGTGGGAAGTATGGAAGGTGCCTGACTGATACTGTATACACAAGATACAACCTATCTATGGGTGCGTTTACTTCTGAGCTAATTTTACTATCAGCACGCTCAGTCTGTATACTTTCGTCTGAGTGCCACGCTCATTGGCGTTTACTTTAGAGCTATGTGACATCATGTTTAGCGAAATTGGTAAGCTCGGAGTGCTAGCTAGTTTGTTTTCGAGCTTTGCGCTAATTCAATATGGCTGCTCTCATGAAAAAATTACTTTCTGTACAAAGTACTAAAAATGGAATTAGTTTTCGAAAAATAAACGGCAGAAAGTATTTTTATCGGTAAATTTCAATTATTTGTTGTGTAAAATGTTTACATTGAACTTTTTTTCATTGTAAGGTTCAATAGCTTTAGATGACTTTTTTCATAAACAGAGTTAATTAATGTGAAAAAAATTAAGTTTGATTCATTGTTTATGATTAAAAGTGAGGTTTACCTAATACGCATTTGGAATCTTCAGAAATGTTATGTTCAGAGCATTAAATAAAACGTAAAGAAATGAACAGTATTAATAATAATCCAAAATTACATAAGTTTGTATACTTGAATGAATTTTCACTTACATATGGAAAATGACTTCTCAAGAAATTGTATCATTTGAATACCATTTTTTCATTACAAACTAAACTTATATGATGACAGAGTAATACTTATTTCTATTGAAATAGGCTACTGTTTCTTCAGTTGATGTCTTAATAGCCATACGCTTTTCATCAATAGAGCCTCTAATTCCAGGAAAACCAGATTGGGTATAAAAAATTCCATTATTCTTACATCATCCTGCTGTGTGATGGCCAAGAGATCATTTTTCATTTTCATTTAACACTAACTTGTTAGAAAGAATTAACAACTTTATTTAAAATATTCCACGCAGTCGTCTAAACATTAAAACGATCGCCAATACCCTTAGAGGAAAGAAAGAAAGAAAAAAAGTGTTTAGTATTTAATATCAATTTTTTGTTAATGTTGAACTCAGTTTAGTTACACCACAACAAAACGTCACATCCATTCACTGGGTAAAACAAATTCTTTAAATATATATTATATGTATGTATAATCTACCATTCTCTTATAAACTGCATCTAATTTCATATATTATTTCGTATAAACAAACCTGAATGATTCTTGATTTGCCAATGTCCATAGACAGCATAAAAGCTGTATTTGAGGAGACACAGGCTGTCTTCCAGAGGAAGTAATTTTTCGGTGTTTATAATTGGGCTTATTTTTTAGAGGAGAATTTCAAAACATTCTCTTGTAAGTCTAAGGTTGTTTAAAATCAATTGGCTTATAAAAAGGTAGAGTCTCATTTCATTTTTCATTTTTCTACAATTATATCCACAATAAAATCATCCTCGTCCAATTCGGAATCAAATAGTTATATCTGTAACGTAACATTTAAAATAGCAGCTTTGACAATATTATTTGCAGGAAATTGCCATATTTCTTGTTAGTGTTTGCGTTTACTTTTGAACTGGACATGTAAGCACGAATACACATGCTAATGACATCACTTCCGGTGTTCGGAAGTAGCACTATTAGCTCAGAAGTAAACACACCCTATGTAACAGACTGAAGAGGTGCGAAAGCCCGAAACGCGTATCTGTATGAATTAAAAGTGGATGATGAAATTATTTGCCAAGTGTCAATAAATTCACCAAGTTGTGACATTGAATTAGAAGAAATAAAAAGCATTCTTGTCATCACCCAGTTAACTTACTCTCTAGATCTTGCTTCCAGTGCTTTTGGCTGTTCCTTAATTAATTAACTCTCAAAATGGGCCACAAAGGGATGTGTTTTTCGCAAGCATGGAGGACATATCGAATATGACTGCTCAACTCCAGAAGATTCCAAAGGAAGCATTCCAAGCCTGCTTTCATGCTTGATCAATGGACAAGTATGTCTGTGCGGGAGAGGCCTGCTTTGAAGGTGATTACATCTGCATTGCTATATCTCATGCCAATATAGTGCAAGATGTCAATTCCGGAAACTTTTTGACTTCCCCTTGTATTAAATTTAAGATTATAATTGCAAAGGCTGGAACAGTAAAGGTATAACATTGCCAGGTTTAATTGGGAAACAAATACTAAGAAATTTCTGTGGTTATGTTAGGTTCTGTTCCTTACCATTCAGGGAATGATCAAAGTCATGATGGACACAAAGAAAAGACTCTGTTATTGTGACATTGTCATGATGCCAGTCTGCAATTTTTAATATTTTTAATTAATATAAAATGGCAAAACGCTTAATTTTGGGCATTGGGATGGGTTTGATAAAAAAAATTGTAAATACTAATAACGAGCAAAATTGTCATTAAGTCCGACCGGAAATGCATACGACCCCATTATCTTTCCATCCCCTCGACATTTAACCACCAAAATTTAATACCATCAATTCCCCTAATAGACAAACCACCCTGAAAATTTTCAGAAATTTTCGACAAATTTTCGTCAATTTGTCTTAAGTCCAAGAATGTAAAAATCTTGAAGATCGTTTTTTGATTGATTGCCATACTTTCCCTCTGTTATAGACTATATAACAGCCAGAAAAGTAATAAGGTTAATAAGTTTAAAACGTTTAAGGTTGTCAAATTAGCACATTATTGAAGTCAAAAGATAACACGAGTAAGGAAAAAGGTACTGTACATTCAGTATTTCGGTTTCTGCGCTTTTATTTCCACCAAGCATCGAACGTCCATGACTAACATCGATAGTGTGCAAAACATTGGCGATGTGTGCATGTTTTAGAAATTAGAAGTAAAACAAAAATATTACAGAACAATATGGTATTTTACAATAATACACAATGCAAAATATTATTCAAATAAATAGAGAACGCGTCTTGGTGAAATGGCTCAAAATCTATTAATTTGCTCGGGAAATTTTGAACTAAAGAATACAAACGTAAGGAGAGCTCAAAAGTTACCGACGANTAAATAATTATATTTATATAATATAGTGTTTTGTTCTGCTTGTTGTATGATAATAACAAAGATTTTCTATTCTGTTCGGAATTGATAATATTATGTATGACATTAAGTCATTCTGATGAAACTGAAAGTAAAAATGCATGTTGAATTATGGATGGGATTGCAAACAGTTGTTGAATTCTATATATATACAGTTGTAGATTTATGTGTGAATATTTGTATCCATGTACAGTTGGAACAGTTTCCAGATTTTTATTTCACTTTCTACAAGAATTGAATGGTTAGAGAGTTTTAAATAGTAGATACCAGCTGAAAGTTTAAAATAAATATTTCATATGTGCAGACATATGTGAGTTAATTTGATGTAACTAGGATTAAATCATTGTAAAGTTTTTATTTTTATTCTTTATTCAATAATAACACGTAATGCTTTAAAATAAAAGCAAAGAAATGCTGTCTCTCTCTTTCTCTTATTTTCTTACTTATTAAGCTAACTGTGCATTCAAATTTTTGCAATAATGAAAAAATGTAAGAAATCAAAAAATCTTAGACTATTATAAAATTTATATAAATTTTTAGTTAGTGCTTGCTTGCTCTTATATAAATGCTATATAAAGTTTATTACCAAGAAATAAATAACTGAAAACTCTTCTGATCAAAAAGTCTGAATGATCTTTACTCAAATTCTTATTGCTTTTAGGTGTGGACTTTTAAGGATTTTGTATGATATATTAATTAATTAAAAATGCTGTAAGCATTTGTGATTACATTCTAAGATGATTTGTGCTGCTTTCAATTCAGACTTCATACTGATTCATTCATTCCAGCAACTAATCTATCAACAGTGTTATTTTTATATAGAAGAATGGTAACTCGTAACTTAAAAGTAAATCATATTGAAATAAGCTATGAAATATATGAACTCTGTTCATTATTGGTATATTGTTTTATTATGTGCACCTGGAACTGACTTGCATATTTAAAAGCAAAACTCTGTTGTATACTACTCAACTGTTTTATGCTTAAAAAAATTTTATGGTCTGTGTTCTGGAGAAATTAAAAAGTATATTTAATATCTTGTATCTGTTCCCAAGAAATTAATATGTGTATTAAAATATTAACATTATTTTATTACTTGACCTTGATTTATTACAAAATAATTGTTTCTGGCAGAATTATATATTTATTAACATTATTACATTAATTATTATAAATTATTTTGTTTTATAATTACTTATAATATTATTTTTATACTCAAATTATAACAAGTCTGTTATAATGCATCATCACATTACACGTAATGAACCCATATTTATTTATTTATTTATTTATTTTTTTTTTCTTTTTGAAACCGTGTCCTGTTTTATATTTGTGGCGTAATAAACACTAGTATTGTGTTTTATTCCAAAGACACATGGCAAATTTTCCATCAAATTCCTTTATTAGTTGATAAAGGATAGTCAACTAATAAAGGAATTTGATGGAAAATTTGCCATGTGTCTTTGGAATAAAACACAATACTAGTGTTTATTACGCCACCCATATTTATTACTGATTTAGTTTTTGAGAACATACCAGTAATTTACTGTAAGTCAACTAATCTATTTACCTTGTTGATATTGGCTAGAGTTTTTTCTCATTTTAGTTTAAATGTGACTGTAGAATTTCTTTAATTCAGCATTTATTATATGCAGGATCTG